GATCGTACCAACATACAGAACTGTGGTTCGACGTCTATGAGATAATACAGACAAAGGTGAGCAGCTAACACTCAGCCTTGGCATCTGGTAAAGGTTACGGTGTTTCCCTCTCGTGCTGACTCACTCCCACACCAGTTCTCTGTGACAAGTTGTCACCTGCAGAGGTTGAACTGTGCCATTTGTGACACAACGTTCTCTCGCTCGATGTTATAGTCAGTTTTATTCTCAGTGGAAAGAGTGGGAGCCTTGGAGTAGACTGAATTGATGTCGAGCCTGGATGACCAGGAGGCAAGGAGAAGCTGCCGAGAGCCCCAAGTCCATCTGCCCCAGAAATGGGGTCCCTCAGGTCTCTATTTTAAGGACTGGCCAGAATTTAGAACTAAGACTTAGATTTTAATTAGTTCCCTTGTTTTTTTTGTGAGAATTGTAATTAGTACAGCTTTTAAAAATTAAGCTTAGATTTCTGTGAATAGAGTTCAAATTTGTGCAAAATAAGTGGGAAGAAAAGACTCTTCTGTGTAATCAAATGGTCTTTAAGTCCTTTAGAAAGAAAAAGGGTGAACTACAGAACGTCAGGAATAGAAGGAATAGGGAGGATGACTCGGATTCGGGACAGCTTTCACTATCAGCTGTTTAGAGTCTGAAGACCCACCATTCAAAGAATTGCAAACCATTATTTGGCACCAAGCTTGCCATGATAAATATAACCTCCAACTGAATGAGTAACAGAACTCCTGGACATGGTGCATTTGTCATCAGCAGTCCTACACAGAGCCCACATGTTATAGGATTCCATTTATATGAAGTGTTCAGAAAAGGCAAATCTATTGAGACAAATCTGCAGTGGCTTAGTGATTGCCTGGGGCTCAGAATAGGAAAGAGGAAGGACTATCGCGTGGGCTTGAAGTTTCTTTTTAATGTTGTAAAATGAGATGTGATGTGGTTGACAACTCCATAAATTTTATAAATGTCACACTTAAGATGGGTAGATTTTATACTAAGTAAATTATACCTCAAAGCTGTTAAAAAAAAAATTCAACCTGTGTGAATAGATGGAAAAATTCAACTCGTATGAAAGTATTGGTCAAATGTCATGTTTCTATGAGGTATCTTTAAAGAAAAAAGAAACTTTCAAGACAGGATTTACTAGCCTATCTTTTTGGTTCCTATTACCATTTACTTATAGCCAGTATTCAAACAACAGGCAGTAGCTGGCATTCATGCCCTGGGCACTGAGGAATGAGAAAGAGCAGAAGAGGACATCTCTTGTGGGTTTTTTTTTTCTGTTTTAAGAAAACTGTGGTAAATATCTATACTAATAATAGCCTAGATGGTCGTCACACCTTCACACCATGATGCCCTCATGCTGTCACAAGGAGGCTGCGTGCACAGCGGGCGCACACGGGTGGGCGGGGCTGCGTCCGTGACCAGGCGGGCATGGGTGGGCGGGGACTTGACGCTGTGTATGCGGTGTGGAGGCGGGGCCCAGCAGCCTCTATAAGCTGCGAGGCCTGGGGTCCTGAGGCTGTGCACGCAGCGGAGGCGGGGGCCCCTGGCTCCCGCCTACCTCTTTGGGGCAATCCATCAAGGAGCCCCAGGACCCCGGATCTCGTGCGATTCCGTGTGCCGGGTCACTAGTACATAATATAAAAAATTACTATTTTAACCGTTAAAAAACATTTTTTTTCAATTTTTAAATTTTTTTAGAGAGGAAGAGAGAAAGAGAGAAATATTGATTTGTTGTTCTACTTTATGCATTTATTCGCTCTTTCTTGTATGTGTCCTGACTGGGGATCAAACCCACAACCTTGGCATAGCGGGATGTTGCTCTAACCAATGGAGCTGCCTGACCAGGGCTAAACATTACTGTTTTCCTTAATGTTTAGTTGATTTTTTTTGTAGTGACACATCTTGATTCTCTTATCATTCCCCTTTGTGAATATTCTAGAAATATTTTATTTGTGGCTACCATAAGGATTCTGTGTAACATCCTAAAGTTATAAAAATCTATTTTAAATTTATATAAACTTCAATTGCATACAAAAACTCTACTCATTTATAGCTATATCCCTCCCCTTTATGTTACTGATGTCACAAATTACCACCTTATATATTGTGGGCCGAATAACACGGATGCATAATGACCATATACATTTTTCTTTTAAGTGATTTTGTGGGCCTTCTACAGCCCATGGGCCAGGCATTCCTCACCCCTGAATGAATTGACAGAATTTAGTGACTTATTACAGGTCGGGAGTTGAGGAGAATGGCATAGATGATGGTATCATTCCTGAAGTCAAGGAGTGTAGGGGGAGACATTTTGAAGAAGTTGATAAATTATTAAAATGTTAATTTTTAAATTGCACAAGACATGGTGTATTGCGTTTGTGATACAAAAACAAATTGAAACATAGAGATGAGGCTGATGCCCCCGTTGGCCACCAGACCCAACGCCAGCCCGCCCCTCGGTGTCAGCACGGCTACCAGCGTGGCGTGTGTCCTCACGGGCGTTCTGTGCATGTGCATACTTACCTGGGGAAAATGGATAGCATCGCCTTGAGATGTGTAACTTAATATTTACTACTCTGTCACTTGGATTTTCCCTCGCACAGCTGATATTTTAGAAGTTCTGCTAAGTCAGTGCATATGAAGTTACTGACGGCTGCATAGCATTCCATGGAATAGAGTAACCCAAAGAGCCCATTGGTGGATTTTAAATTTTGTCCCAGATTTCTAACAAATGATGCTGCTATGAATATACTTCTACATCTTTGTCAATCCGTGCGATTTCTTCCCACTAGGAATGGTTACTGAGAAGTGGGATTGCTGGGTCCTAGGGTGTATGCTTTTATTTTGATAGTTACTGCCAAACTGCCCTCCACATGGCTGTTCTGACTGTACAGTGGACAAGTGTTCTCTCTCCTACACTCTCATCAACACTTGATGTTTTTCTGAGTGAAAACTGATACATCACTGCTTTAACTTGTGTTCTCTAATCATGAGTGAGGGCACTGAATCATTTGTTTTTATCTTTTCCCCATTAGTCTGTTGGACTACATTTTTCTTTTGGATTTGTAGGAGTTTAAAAAAATTTTATAGCCAACCCTTTACTTTTTTGTCACTGGTATCTTCTTTAGTTACTTGTTTATCTTTTAAGTTTGTTTATGGCGTGATATTAATTTTGATGGAGGAAAATGCATCAGTGTTTGCTAGGATTTGGTTAAGAAAATTTGGCTAAGAAAATCAAAGGCACAGCCACTGTATGTTCCACTCTGTCATTATTTTTTAAGGTTTGAAGTTGAGGTGTCAGTGGGAAATTTGAGTAGAATTATGTAAATGGCAGGTGAGTGCTTCAGAATGGAGTGGAAGTCAAAACCAAACTTGAGATAGAGATTGGGGGTCTCCAGAGGGGACGAGGAGGTTGAACCACCGGCATGGATGAGACTGTCAGGAAGAAAGCATGTGAGGAGAGGTGGGCCAGGGACACTGACATTAGCAGCAGTGAGCATGAGACCGGAAGGAAGGATCGAGAAGGAGGAGGAAAACCAGGGAATGAGGGGGGAAAGGAACTAAGAAAGACAAGCTATAAGAAGGCGCGGGAGCCTTTGGGTCAGTGTGATACCCACCGACCTATACTGTCCCAGTCACTTATTTGTCTATTATTTTCCAGGAGATAACGTCACAGAGCAGGCACCGGGGTTTATTCACGTTTATATTCCTAGAACTGAATGGGGTCCTGCCCATAGTGACATTTGTCTATCCAACATCTAATGAAATCTATAAAGTTTGTTGAATGAATACATTTTGAAATCTGCCTCTTTCCTTGAACCGATTTGTCAAAGAAAATCTTACAACTGACAGAACTGGCTGGGAATTGTGGGAAGGTGCTGTGACCTTTTGCTCGCAGGGTATTAGCTAAAATGGGAGAACTGCCTTGGACAAGCCTAGGTGGCACCACAGAGGCTCAGCTGTCTCAGCTGTGCTGGGAGGACTGTGGCTGTGTCTGCAAGTGCTGGCTTCTCTTTAATGCACGGGCAGCCATTCCGAAGCTTCAGAGTGGCCATCCTTCCCCTGGTATTAGTTAGCTGGCGGGTTTACGGAGCACCTTTCCATGAACAGTCTGTCTGTGGATTGTCTGTGCAACCCAGTCCGTGGGGTAAAAGAATTGAGTCATTCATAAGATAGTCTGTACCCCAGCCCATGGTGCAATTTCTCATTTGGGGTATAATCCTATACAATAAAAGCCTAATATGCTAATTGTCCCCTTGACTGGAAGTTTGACCAGTCAGTGGGCTGGCCAGCCAATCTCCTGCGTCCCTTCCTCCCAGCTGGTCCGGCCCAGATCAACCCCAATCAGGGCCGGGCCAGCCAGACCCCACCTGTGCATGAATTCATGCACTGGGCCTCTAAGTCATAGACACACTGGCCTTAATGTGCATAAAGGTGGAGAGGAAAGAATTCTGTTCCACCTGGGTGCTTTAACAAGCATCTCGTGTTAATCCATGAACTCAGGAGAGCTCAGTGTCCCTGGAAAGGGGAGAAATGATTTTTTTTTTAGGAGAATTGGGGAATGACAGAGAAAGGAAGGAGTAGGCAGAAAAAGTTTAAGGTCATAAGCAGGACAACAACAGTAAAATGTCATAGGTAAGGACTAAGTAGCAAAGTTGAAGCCTGAGAGAGGTGAAAGCAGCAAGAAGGAGGGGCAGGTGATGTAGTTTAGACTAGTGGTCACCAACCTTTCGGACCTCATGGACCACCAGTGGTCCGCGGGCCACCGGTTGGCGACCGCTGGTTTAGATTGAGTGCCAGGGCTGGAGGTGCCAGGTGTGCTGAGAGGGGCAGGCCAGGTAGGACCACCAGCAGGTCCTCCTCCCTCCCTGTCCAGAAACTGGGACAGAGGGGCCTGCATTAGCTCTCCCATCTGCCCACACTTCCCAGAGATCCCGTGTGGACATGCTGTGAGTTCACATCCAAGCTAACAGAGCACACACACGCAGATGTTGCAGACAAATTAAAATTTACTAAGACAGACAGAAATGCACCTACTCGGGACTACAGTTAAGCAGTTACTATTAACCAAAGAGTCATGTTCACATTCCAGATAAGTCTACGTCAAAAAGCATTCAGAATTTACTAGTTTTCTACATCACTATTTCACCTACAAGAGGGACAGCAAACTGACACTTGGGATTTGGTGGCTTTTGTTACAATGCTACACACTGAACAGGGACACACATCAGCGACTTTGAGAAAAAGGTATAAAAAGACCAAAACCACTCACTGTAGAAAGGGCTCTGGGATGTTACTGTACAGCGTGGCCAACGTAAAAACAAAAGAATGGAATCCTGGGAGAGGCAGAGGGCAGACCTGGGCAAGGCATGGTCATTCCCTGCTGGGCCTGGGGAATGGGCCTAAAGAGGGGAAACTGATCCAAAACCTCACATTCTGTATGAAGGGGTTTCCATGCCTAGAATATCTGTGGAAACAAAAAGACATTGATGTGGCAGACACCTACGCATGATGGGAGAAAATTCTGGGATTTAAGTTGGGATGCTAAGGAAATGGTATTAAATAAGAGATTTATGGAATAAGAATAAAACTATTAACAAAGAAGTTTCCAAAAATGAGTGAGGATTCAATGCCTGTCTCAAACAAGGGACTAGATGTATTTTTATAATAATTTTTATGGATACCTTGTCACTAGCTAAAGGACTCCTGCCAAAGAAAGGATGCAACAATTCTCCTTCTAAGGCTAAAGTAACTAAAAAATCTAATCTTCAGTGTTTTCACAAATAAAAATCATGAAATATTTTAAAGAATGGAACGCTGCCATGCCAATGTGAGGCACGAGAAGTGGTGCTAATGGGGCTCCGCTGTCCTGGGGCTCTCCTGGTAGGAGGGCTTCTTATTTCATATTTTAATGAATCAAATATCTTCTTGGAATGCCTCTGAAAATGAGCATCTCAGCACCTTCCTGGGAACTGACTCCTGAGCACTCTTCTCCATCATTAAGTTAATGTCAAGGAGCTTTAAGTGTCATCTTTAATTTGACACTTGTCATAAGATAATTAGTTCCTCTAAGGGAAATCAATTTGTTGATTTTAATTTTTGCTCTCGTGCATTGTCCCAAGCTCAGAGGAGACCGTAACAATGGTTTTCTTTGAGGGTCTAAACTGAGATTTCTTTAAATGTCTTCTTTTATATACTCTCTTGTAATTTAGCTGCAATTAAACACCCGTTTTCTATATTATGATCTCAAAGTTTTGTGCAAGTTAGGAAAATAATATTGACAGGGAGGTGATGGAGTGGAGATCTGAATACCGAGCTTGTGTGTAGCCTCCCTACATCTAGGACCTAGGGCCCTGGCTATCATTGCATCTATCGGGCCTAAGGGATTCGCTACATCAGGCTTGTTCACTTCCCATCTGAGACTAATGCCACTTTGTCCAGGTTGGAAAAGGCTAGTTGAGGTGGGTGGGAAAAGTACAAAGAAATGGGCATTTTGGGGTGGACAGTTGGTCAGCTGCCACTGCGATCATGGTTTGGCTGAATACATTTTTTTTGCCTGAGTTTATGTCTTTTTGTGGACTAGCTGGAGCTTATGGGGAAGGGAAGAAAAACAAATGTGGGGTAGAGAGCCTTGCTGGGTGGCTGGTGGGGCAGCCAGGTGGATAGGCGCCGAAGGGCCTGCACTGAACTACATGGGCCACGTTGAAGACTTCTCTTTGGTAGTCATCCTGGAGTCTGGGCCAGCCCGACGGGGGCGGGGGGTTTGGGGAGACCACGGCAATGACGACCCCACCAAATTTTATTTAAGGAAAGAAGCACAGATGGTGAAGGGCTTTCTTCCTTAGGACCTTGACACTGATGTGGGTGAGGGTGTGGAGACAGGACTCGCTCGAAAAGTCCAACCCTCACTTCCATGGGCTACTCTGAAGCTCTTTCTAGGCCTCTGGGGGGGATCCTGTACTGCTGTGTCTCTCATCATGATTTGTGGATGGAATTGGGGGCAAAAGCTAAACCTGGAGTTCAGAATCCCAAATTTTCTTCTAAGAATTACGTGTACTGTCTGTCGGCGAGCAGGGGCATGTGGACATGCCTTAGAAAAGCCCTTGGTAGGCAGGGGAGGCGGGGCCCTGGGCAGACAGGATGCTGCGCCCGGGGCTTCGGGTGGAATGAGAGAGATGGCTTGTGAAGCTGCCCACATGGAGCCGCATGGCTTGTGCAGGACAAGTGATTCGGCAGACAGAGGCCCACCCAAGTCAAAGAGGCTCTGGGAAGGAACCTCCTCCGCCTGCAGCTGCCAGTGCCAAGTGTCAGTGCAAACACGGGCTTGGAGACACTTTATTCCGGAATTGTGATCCAGGTTGGACAGGCTGACAAATTGGTCATTGTTTTCAAATGAATTTTTAATAGACAGCCAAACAGTTTTCTGAGCAGGTGTGAGCCTGGCTTACGGTCTCTCTGTCCATGTGTACATATTTACACACACACAGAGAGAAGCGTCCAGACACCATTTTTAATAAAGAAAACCAGTTGCCCAAAAGGATTCTTGACTGAATTAAGGCCGTTGTTTGTAGGAAGCCAGATACAGTGATGGGAGTAATTAATTTTTAGCAACAAACAGCAGGGGCGGCGGGCGCAGGGGGATAAAGGACAGTGTGGTGTGTTTTCCACGACATCTACGAGACATAAGAAAAGCACTTAGACACCGTAAGGCGGGAACCATGCTGTACAACCACTGGTGTGGGGAGTCAGAAAGGGTCTTGATGTTGAGAGGGCGGGGCTCCCTGCACCGTCAGAATCCCACGTCAATCACATGCTCATTGGACAAGTCTCATGGGAGGGAAGGAGGCGCTCAGTCAGCAGCCAGTCCCTTCTAAACACAAAACAACACCTTCCTTCCCACACAGCCGTGTGCACAATCAGAAAGCTCTGGGAACAGGAGTCGTCCGAATCGGAGGTCGGCTGGAGAGCAGCAGGGAGGAGAGACCTTGGTGCCGCGGAGTCTTAGATACAAATGCAGGAACAGGAAGTGACTTGCAGTCTGTGCTGGCCGTGTCCTCTTCCCCGTGGGCACTACCATATGTAGCCGACCTCATCCTCCTTGTCGTCGTCCTCGTCCTCGTCGTCTTCTGTCGCCCGGGTGTGCGCCCGCAGCCTCCCCAGCTTGTCCTTCGGCCCCAGCTCACGCGCGTCCTCCAGGTCGTCCAGCAGGACCACGGAGCCACCGCTGCCGAAGTCTCCCGAGGTCTCCTGCTCCTCTTCTGCTCATGCGGAAGGAGGAGAGGCCCAGGTGAGTTTCTGCTGAACACATGGCCATGCCAGGGGCTCCCTGCACCTGCCTTCACTGTAGGGCTGACCCAGACACTTCCCTTTCCAACGTGGAGCATCCCTGCCCAGCTGGGGCTGATCCACACAGCACAGACCCCAGCTTTGTTCTGTGGGAGCCCGGAATTCCCGAGATGCTGCTACCTTCTCGGGAGGTTCATGATCCTGATTGAGAAGTGAAGGCAACCTATGTTGTTCTTGGCCAGCAACGGGTCCTGACTGTCAAAAACTGTTCTCCAGTCATAACCGGTTTGGCTCAGTGGATAGAGTGTCGGCCTGCGGACTAAAAGGTCCCAGGTTCGATTCTGGTCAAGGGCATGTACTTTGGTTGCGGGCACATCCCCAGTAGGGGGTGTGCAGGAGGCAGCTGATCAGTATTTCTCTCTCATCGATGTTTCTAACTCTCTATCCCTCTCCTTTCCTCTCTGTAAAAAATCAATAATATATA